GTTGCTTTCGCAACTACTTTTGTTGTAAATATAATTTTAAAAGTAGCCTGCAACAATGAGATGTACAAGTCGTTATGTCGAAAACCAACTTTACAACTTTGGTGGGCGCGGAGGGGGGAGGAGTGGGTGGAGAGGCGAGGGGAGGATGGGAATGGGAAGGGCAAACAAAGGAGGAGGCTACAATGCTTGATAAGAAATGTACTCATTATCTTGCCCATGTAATTGTAACCCCTCTGTACAATAAAAAAAAAAAACAGAAACTGAAAAAAAAAAGTAGCCTGTGGCTCATTGTAGTGACACATATCTCTAATCTCTCAGCAATCAGGAGGCTGAGGCGATACGATCATGAGTTTCAGGCTAGCCTATTTCAAAAGAGAGAGAAAGAAGAAAGGAAGGGAAAGAGGGAGGGAGTCAGGGAAAGGAAGGAAACAAGCCTGGAATCCTAACTACTAGGGAGGCAGAGATCAGATCAGAGGATCCTGGTTTAAGGCCAGCTCAAACATGAACTCAGGAGATTTCATCTTAACTAATTTCTGGGTACAGAGGTATGAGTGTGTTATCTCATTTTGAGGGGAAACACAATGGCTAGGTATAGAGACACTGCTATTCTAACTACAATGGCAGGCTGTTTTGTAGGGGCAGGGATATTTGAGCTGGACCTTTAAAGATGACTTAGGTTTTGCTAGGCTGTGAGGGGAGATGTGAGGCAGGGGAGAGACCAACCTCATATACAGAGTTGGCATTTAATTAAACACACACACACACACACACACACACACACACACACACACATACATGTACCACACATGGCAATGAAATACCTTATGATCCCTGTAATGGTGTTTTGAACAAGCTCATGATAAGACAGAAAGCTTTATGGAAATGCTGATAGCATACTAGCCAAACCTAAGCATTTATGTAACTATAAAATTCTGCATGCTGACCATCACACAATGCCACGTGTGAACCTTCACCCGATCGTTACAGATGAAGGAGAGGTTTGAGGTTCCATATTTGGAAATGGTGCTGCTTCTGCTCACTCTTGGAGGATTTCCACAGGCACTATCATGCAAAGCATTAGAAGTGAGAATAGAGATATAAGGCAGGGTGCCTGCGAGCAACTTTTAGTCTAAGAGTGAAGACAAACAGGTCCACAAAGTGAGTCCCCTTACAGTGAGTGGGGGACAAGCCACCAAATCCAACAGGGCAGGGGTAAAACAATGACGCTGAAGGGTCTTCCTGGTGGAAGATGATCTGGGAGGAAGGCATTTGGGGGGAAGGAGCAAAGAAAGCAGAGATAACAATAGCAAGGGCTTTTGGGGACCATTGCAAGCTTTTCTTGAACAAAGCAGGGGGAAAAAAGGAGTTCTTTGTAATTTGCCAAGTTTTCACAATTGATCAAGCTGGATAATGACCTGGCTGCCTGCCAAGGAGACCTGTGTACGCCTGTTTTTTGGTCTGCTGTGGGATTCAGTCAGGCGGCAAGAATCTATTGTGGGCTCATTATGTACATGCTCAGGAATGGACATCTGGGGAAGAACGGGAAGGAGAAGTAGGCAGAAACTCAAATATTGTGAAAAACCGAGCGTCTCCTGCCTGCGTATAGTCATGGTTTCACGTGACTCGCCGTGTGAGCAGGGACAATGCAGCTATTATTATAGCAGCCAGCACTACAATCTCTTGACCAGTGCCAGTCCCCTCTCCCCCTCAGTGCTGGGGGTCTGGGGGCTCATTTGCATAAGGCTCCTTGATGGTGGTCATGTCTTCTTGCCATCTTAACTGCTTCAAGGGGCATACTGGAGCCTTTCCTTTTATAGCTTGTTGGTCTTCCAGAAAAGTACCCCCAAAGACAGGGGACAAGCCAAACTCCAAGCCTTGTGAGTCCTATAGCATCCACTTGGATGATTTCCACATGAAATTGAAGCAGCTGAGAATTCCCTGTGGTACTTTTGAAGGAAGACAGAGATGTAGAAGCAGGGGCCCCATGAAGCAAGGCTATGAGCAAGTGGCTGAGGACAGATACTAACTATGATTATTATCATCAAAGACAGAGCTAGGTTTTTGTGTGTGTTTTTTAAATACTAATTCTGTATGTTCCCACTCTTGTAGCCCTGGCTACTTTCTAGTCTATTCATCTAACCCAGATGTGAGAAAGTAGCACCAGGAAAAAATGTCCCTCTGATGGAAGACTTAAAATGGCCTAGTTTTGGAAGCATTCTGGGTAGTTTTTTTACAGTGAACTGGAATTTCACAAGCCTAATCAGACACTATGCATGGCAGTAGAAGTTCAGCGGTCTTCAATCCCAGTCATAAGGTGAACGAGGATGTTAGCTTGTAGTAAAACGTTTACAATATAATGGGGCAACTAAGCTTCATACAGCTAAGACCTCAGCTCAGTTCTATAGCACATCAACCCCATCTTGATACACCTTTCCATGTGAGACAAAGGCCAGAGAACGACCTGGTGGAAGTTTTTAAACATCTAGAGGTTTATTGTTTAGAGATAAAAAGACATCAGTAATAAGAAAATAATATGTTGTAATAACATTTAATTTTTAAATAATTCATATGTAAATACTTTCATTACATCTCTGAATGATTATAGTGAGTGTTAAATTCTGGACTTTAATAGGGACATTGACACACTGGGATTGCTTCCGGACTGCGCACATCTTTGTCAGTGTTCTCTGAGCCCCAGGCTAAAGAGCTAGGCAAGTAACCTCTGTCTAGAAAGCAGCAGAAGCTGGACCCCTCCTCTGTCAGTAGTGTTTTCGCCAGACAATTGGAAGCTGTCAGTGTAATCCACCATCTTCAGCTAAACCCACCTCCTCTAAGGGAGGATAGTAAAACATAAGAAGAAGGGACCCTTGAATCTTGAGGAGTCTTGATTTTTGTAGAGACATGCCATTTTTTTCTATTACAAGAGAAAGCAAGGAAGAGGAAGGAGAAAGATGGAGGCAACGACAATCCTTTGCTGCCCATACAGGTCCAGTGTCAGTTTCTTAGCTCAGTGTCACTCTGTTTCTGAACATCCTTAACTCAGTGTCTCCAGCTAACTCTCCAGTCAGAGTAACAGAGACTAAATGCCAAGAGATTAACACACATGATAACCAGTAGATCATAGATAAAATGAACAATGTCTACAGGAGGTAAGAATAATACATTATCCAAATAGGAAGATTTGACCTAATTTTTCCTTACAGTAAAGGGATTTGTTGCTGGGGATTTAGTGAAAAAATGGGACCATGAAGCTTGTGGAGACTGGTTTGGGAAAGGGGAGGCCAGGAGGAGGAAGGGTTGAATTTAATAAAGGCACTTTGTATGCATGTACAGACATGTCATTTTGTATAACTAATTGATACTAAATGAAAAAAAAAATTTTTGTGGGTCATGGGGCCTGAACTCTAGGCCTGGGCACTGTTCCTCAGCTCTTCAGCTCAAGGCGAACGCTCTACCACTTGAGCCACAGCACTAGTTCTGGTTTTCTGGTGGTTTATTGGAGAGAAGAATCTCACGGACTTTCCTGCCTGAGCTGGCTGTAAACTGCAATCCTCAGATCTCAGCTTCCTGAGTAGCTAGGATTACAGGCGTGACCCACTGGTGCCCTGCCTCCATGGGATTCTTATCTCCAATTTAAAAAGATTGTATAAGAAAAAGAAGATGTGGAAACTGAGATCATAAATAGACCTACCAGATTTAAAATAGTTTTTTGTGAGGAAAAAAAAAGGACATAATAAGTAATAAAGATATCACTGGATGCTTATGCGTCTTGGAGGCAAGGCCTTGATCTGTTTTATTTCACTACACACACACACACACACACACACACACACACACACACCTTTATAAAGAAGAAATCCATGTTGTCAAAGCCTTTTGAATGACTCAGAGAACATTGAAAGATGTCACTGAGATGCAGTAGCTTTTCTGCACCTATCCAGATTCACTTTCTGTCTTTTCCCAGCCACTCCCAGGATAGTGAGGGTGGGGTGGGGGACTGGGTTTGAATCCAAGGTCTTAATGCTTACTAGGCAGGTGCTCCACCACTCAGAGCCCAATCCTCACACCACACAGGATTTTGTGCTCCACACACTGTGTGCTGGCTACCTAAGGCATGGCTGAAGCTTTCCTGTCCTGTAGTCTGGAAACTTCTCTCTACTGTATTTGGCATGCTCTTCTTCCCTCTGGCACTTTCTGTTTTGTTTCTATTCTATCGACCTATTTGTCAAGCATAAAACAGATATGTGAGCACCTGCCACTGGAAATTCATAGCTGTGTACCTTTTGACATACTTCCTAGTATTTGATATTAAAAATAACAAAACAACAAAAGAGTTTGCCTGCCCTCCCCTGCCAGCCTGCTCTATTGCACCTTCCTTCTTCTAGATTGTTCCCTTCCTCCCTTCTAACATCGCCTTAACTTTGTTAAACCATTCCCATACCTTTACCTCACGTTCCAATACACTCTGTGCATTTACAAAAGCCAATTGTTGCCCAATTGTGGCCAAGGACACACAGAGAAAAGTGTGCTGGTTTCATTTGGGCCTCGGTTGTTGTAGAAAATGTGTAACCTTTCTAGAGCTTCCTGTTTCCTCTACCTTGCCTTTAGAAGTTTGCTTTAAGAAAACTGGGGAGGGATGGACCTAAATGGCCAGATGAATTTTGAATCGAACCCCAAGACCCACACTAACTTGTGTCCTCTTGTTTGCTCAGGTCTAATCATCTGTGTATCTTGAGTAGCCATCCACACTCAACTAAAAACAACATAAGCTTCATAGATAAAAGGAAACTGGACTTCCTGTCTTTGTGCTTTTCTTCCTAAACAAGGAAAATAATTGTTTTCTTTTCTCTAGCTGAGTTTTAGTTAATGCGTTGTTTTGCTGTACTTGTGTGCACTCAATATTCTGAAAAATGTATACAAGGTTAAGTCTCCATGTGGAAAGTAAGTGTTCAGCATAGCAACACAGAACTGACCTCTCTGTTTCTCTTCTCTGCTTGTAGACTGCAGCATGTTTATCTTCCTGACATCTGTCACCGCCGCTGTCAGTGGCCTCCTGATGGGTTATGAACTCGGGCTCATCTCTGGGGCTCTCCTGCAGATCCGAACTCTACTAGCCCTGACCTGCCATGAGCAGGAGAGGGTGGTGAGCTCTCTCCTCATCGGAGCCTTCCTTGCATCTCTCACAGGAGGCTTCCTCATAGACAGGTATGGCCGAAGGCTTGCGATCATCCTGTCCTCCTGTCTACTTGGGCTCGGAAGCTTGGTCTTGATACTCAGTTTGTCCTACACAATGCTTATTGTGGGACGCATTGCCATAGGGGTCTCCATTTCCCTCTCTTCCATCGCCACTTGTGTGTACATCGCAGAGATTGCCCCACCACACAGAAGAGGCCTTCTGGTGTCACTCAATGAGCTGATGATTGTCACCGGCATCCTTTTCGCTTATATTTCAAATTATGCATTTGCCAACGTTGCCCAGGGCTGGAAGTACATGTTTGGCCTCGTTATTCCCTTGGGAGTTTTGCAAGCGATCGCCATGTACTTCCTTCCGCCAAGCCCTCGGTTCCTGGTGATGAAAGGACAAGAGGAAGCTGCTAGCAAGGTTCTGGGAAAGTTAAGAGGGATTGCAGATGCCACCGAGGAGCTCACGATGATCAAGTCATCCTTGAAAGATGAGTATCAGTACAGTTTTGGGGATCTGTTTCGTCCCAAGGACAACATGAGGACCCGAATCATGATCGGTCTCACCTTAGTATTTTTTGTACAAGTCACTGGACAGCCAAACATATTATTCTATGCATCAACTGTGTTGAAGTCTGTTGGCTTCCAAAGCAATGAGGCAGCTAGCCTGGCCTCTACTGGGGTTGGGGTGGTCAAGGTGGTAAGCACCATCCCAGCCACTCTTCTGGTAGACCACATCGGAAGCAAAACCTTCCTGTGCATCGGCTCCTCCGTGATGGCGGCCTCCTTGCTGACCATGGGCATCGTGAACCTCAACATCCATATGAATGTCACCACCATCTGCAGGAATCCCAATCATGGTAACCAGTCCTTGGATGAGACTGTGTTTTTTGAAGCTGGAAATCTGTCAACCAGCAACAGTACTGTCAAAGAGCACTTTAAAGGGACCACTTCTCACATGGGGAGCTCGCTTGCACCTACAGGAAGTGACATGGGTAAGAGAGAGGAGATGACGTCCACGTCTTGGCCAAATGTTGGTCGAAGCCACACTGAATACCAGATGGTCACAGACCCTGCCCCCGTCCCAGCTGTTTTGAAGTGGCTGTCCTTAGCCAGCTTGCTGGTTTACGTGGCTGCTTTCTCAATTGGTCTAGGACCAAGTAAGTACTTTATTCATTTTCCTTTCCTCTTTAGAAATATTCTTGTCCTGCTTTTGATCAGGCAGAGCAATCTCCTGTGGTGTAATGCCTCTTTCTACATAAGTACTGGAAGCAAGCTGAGAATAATTCTAATCACCTGATGTTTCTGCTAATGCAAAAAGCTTGGCTTGGCTTGTATTTGCTACTTGAAAGCACAAAGGCTAGTATTCAACTGAAGGGTGTTTTCCACTGTATTCTTTAATGCAGTTGACTGAGGATAAATCAGACCTGGAAAGAGACATATTGCCCAGGGGCATTATATTGTCTTATAAAAGTAATTTTACTGGGTTACATTTTTCTCCATGGCATTCCTGAGTATCTTTCTGAGAAAACTTTCTTAAGGATGGATTGACTAGAAAAAAGTAGGTTGTCACCTGCAGTTTAGACATCTTTTAGCCTCATACCCAAAGCCTAAACATTTTTTTTTTTTTGGGTCCGGTCGTGGGGCCTGAACTCTGGGCCTGAGTGCTGACCCTCAGCTCTTCAGCTCAAGGCTAGCACTCTACCACTTGGGCCACAGCGCCACTTCCGGCTTTTTTCTTTTTTCTTATGTGGTGCTGAGGAATCGAACCCAGGGCCTTGAGCATGCAAGGCAAGTGCTCTACCACTGAGCCACCTTCCCAGCCCTTGATACAATATTTTGAAATATTAAGAATCAGCAAAGAATCTAAGAAAATGTCAGCTGGTAGAAAGGACTGGTTTTAATTCAGAGAGCCTCCTGAGTTTGAGTTTATATTGTGGTACATACTATAATAAGAGAGATGTTGGCTTTAAACTTCCAGAATCAACCTATTCCTAGCTAGGGTCTTTTCAATCTCATGCCACTGTTTTATCTTTAGTTTGGAGGCAATTTAAAAAACTGTGAAGTCAAAGCCGGGTGCTGGTGGCTCACGCCTGTAATCCTAGCTACTCAGGAGGCTGAGATCTGAGGATCAAGGTTCAAAGCCAGCCTGGGCAGGAAAGACCGTGAGACTCCCATCTCCAATAAACCACCAGAAAACCGGAAGTGGCGCTGTAGCTCAAGTGGTAGAGTGCTAGCCTTGAGCTGAAGAGCTGAGGGACAGCGCCCAGGCCCAGAGTTCAAGCCCCATGACCGACAAAAAAAAAAAAAAAAACTGAAGGCAATGGGCTGGGAAGGGGGCTCAGGGGTAGAACGCTTGCCTTGTATGCCTGAGGCCCTGGGTTTGATTCCTCAGCACCACATAAGCAAAAAGAAAAAAGCCAGAAGTGGTGCTGTGGCTCAAGTGGTAGAGCGTTAGCCTTGAGCAGAAGAGCTGAGGGACAGCGCTCAGACCCAGAGTTCAGGCCCCATGACCAGACCCCCCCCCATAAAAAAAACCAAAAAACAAAAAAACTGAAGTCAATACTTCAGTCTTGACTGCAATTTTCTTTAAAAAAATTATATTAGAACAAGAGTTCCCTTTCAAAGGCTTCAGTTCGATTTTTAAAGATAATTATTGGCTATTATTTGTCTTCTTTCTCCTTCCCTCTCTCCCAGTATTCTTTCAGGTAGCTAGCAATCCTTTGAGAATAAGCACAGCACAGGTCATACAGTCAATTAAAGGCAGGTCAGGAAGGAAAACTGATTACATGTAACAGTGTGAGGAGCTGCTCTCAAACCAGGATCACGAGTGATATGCATAAGGAATTTCTTTCAGGTATCACACAATTGTGAGAGACGCTGAGGGAAGGTCTAGAAGGAAACACAAACTTATCAGTCAGAGCCACAAAGAGAAGCTAGTAGAGCTTCTATGTGCTTACTATGGCTGAAATCAAAGCAGAGGGAGGTAAAAACCATCTGAGATACAGACCACTTACAGAACAATGGCTGCCTTCTTCAAAAACTCTCACAATGTGCCTGGCCTGGGACTTGGAGGATCTGATCAACCTTACTTTCTCCCTGACACCTACGAGGGGAAATCAGTGGTCAGCAGCAGGGTTTGCACCAATCAGCAAGTAAAGGCCCAAAGTATCCCTTTGGCCTTCCAAACTCAGCAAGTTTTTCTTCTTGATAATTCTCATCCAGGTCTGCATGGGAAGGGAATTCTGGGAAATGTAGTTCCAGTATATATAGCCAAACATGACACAGTACAAAACCATCAGAATAAGAAATTCTAGAGTAAGAGAGAATAGGTGGGAATGGAAAATAAATGTATTTATGGAAATGTTAAAGGTCCACAACTCAGTCTTCAGTTGCTTCGATAACTGCAAGGTTAATTATGAAAATGTATGACTAACTTCCATTCTATTCACTTCTAAAAGAAAAGAAAATGAGGTTGTTTTATTAATGTCATTTGGCCCATGTTTCTTTAACTATAACAGTGAAAACCACTCTGGCTAATGCACTGTAAATGCTTTCATGTTTGTTTTCTCAAGAACGTTAATGATCTCCCTTGAGCTGACGATTCTACTTATCTCCAATTCTATCATCTCACATAACTGCTAGTTCTTTCTTTCCCCCATGAGTATAAGACTTTCCTACTTCAATATTTCACTGTCAGCCAAACACAATTCCAAGGCCGAATTATTTTTGCTTTTATGCCAGGATCTCTTCCCACTTTTCCCTCCAGCCACTCAGGGAAGATGCCATGGGCCCTTTGCTCAGACCAGTCAGTGAGCAAAAGCTCTTAGATGGCTCTTATGTTCATTGTTTCCTTCCTATTTCTGCCATGCTATTCTAGCTCTATGTTCTTATTCCTAGATTACTAGAGACTCTTCCAGGCCAGGCCCCTCTCATACCCATCCATCTTCCCTTCCAGTATTCTCTTAATATGGTTTTCCTCCTGTCTCCCAAGTTTTCAAATCTTCCATGCTGTCTTATTTTATACCCTATCAGAGAAAGCAATGCTTTTCAAGATGAAAAGATTAGAAAGTTTTTAGTCCAACCACTTCCTTTTATTGAAAAGAAATAAGAAGCTGCAAAAGATTTAAAGTCACACTGACATCTAGAATTCTAGATCCCTGTAGGACACTGTCTGCCAATATAGAACCCATCTTTGATGAGAATATTGCTTTTAAAGGCTCTCCATCATCCTACCCAACTGTAAGGGCAGCTGTACATTCATATTGTAGTCTAGGGAGTTATTTCCAGGTCACTATTAACCTAAAACATGTGAAAACTCTACATTCACAGTAAGTGATGAGCCAGGCATTGTACAATGAGGCAATCATTTACCCATTTGGGGTTTCTTTATTTCCCACTGCTCAGCTTCCCCTCCATTCAATAACTATTAAGTGCTTTTCATCTCTCCTGTTTTGGCTCAATCCAAATCTTCCCTATCTTTGTGAAGCTTTATTATAATCACATCTCTAGGAATTGACTCCATCTGCTACAGGTCTTTTTGTGTGAGATACTCCTATGTAATTTTCAATGTACAGTTATTCAATTCTGGGCTACAAAGATCCTGACTTAAAAATCAGAAAACTTGAGTTCTAATCCCAGCTCTTTAACTTTCTGTCTGTGTAACCTTCGAGCCATTTTTCTCTCAACGGTTTCAAATTTCTGAAATGGACCTGTCCTATCAACTAGAGTATCAATGCTTGTCAAATAAGAGAGTTTGTCAAATAAATTATGCTTTGTTTTAAGGAGCAAAGTATTCATGTGAATCACAGAGGAATAACACAGATCATCAATCCTTAATGACATCATGTAGTACTTTTCTGTGTTTCTTTTGGTTTATTAACTAAATCACAGCTACTAAATTATAAATTCTCTGAAGGAAGAAACCACATCTCATCTTTTTTATCTCTGTTCCCATGAGCACTGCATATCTATTTTAAAATCATGCTGGGTTACATTTGGGTTGCTAAGAGGGGAGGAGGAAAAAAACTTTAAAAATGTGATGCAGAAACAGGCTACTAAGTGGGTGGATGAAGGACCCAGTAAATTAGGAATGCTATTTTATAGCATTATAGCCAGCCTGCCAAAGAAGTCTCATTGCTGGCAGACACCATCACAAGGGGATTTTTAGAACAACCCGTTACTTCCACATGGTTTTGTCTGCAAGAAAAGATGCAGGGGAGATCGTAGTGTTCAGAACCAACTAATGGGAAGCATTTAGGACATTCTTGTGTCAAGTCAGAAATAACTATTTGGACATGGCGTTCTGTACTGGATTTTCTTGAATACCTCTGCTTTTTGTCACACTATAGAGGAAAGAGTCTTTTTGAGAATTTCTTAGACCAAAAGTAACATGAGTGAGATGAAGAATTTCAGGATTAAAGGAAATTTGGGTGTGGGAAAAGTAATAACTCTCCTGTCTCATGGTCTGACCCATCATGGTTACAAGGACTTGGCCTGGTGTTCACATGAGAAGCTGGGTCATGCCAACAGACTTAGACATCTGAATCACTCTCCCGGGAGAGCAGTCACTTCTCACTATGTTTATGGAGTATAGTTTATCCTAGTGATTTTAGGAAGATCTAAGTAATTATCCCCTTCATTCCCACCTGCTCAGAGACATTTATATCTCTTATACAGCATAGTCACATTATAGCTGCTTTTCTTTTTTTCCCTTTTTCCTTCGTGTGTGTGTGTGTGTGTGTGTGTGTGTGTGTGTGTGTGTGTGTGTGCCTGAGTTTGAACTTAGGGTCTAGGTGCTACTATCACTTAGCTTTTGAGTTCAAGGCTAGCATCACAGCCTGAGTCACAGTTCCACTTCTAACTTCGTGGTGGTTTCTTGGAGATAAGAGTCTCATGACTTTCCTGCCTAGGCTAACTTCAAATTTCAATGCTAATATCTCAGCCTCCTGAGTAGTGAGGATAACAGGCATGAGCCACTGACACTCAACTCTCTTCTTCTCTAAAGAAAACATGCCATAGAAATTCTATCTCATTCCTCAAAATTGTGTGCTAGGACATTGGCTTAAACCCAGTTGGAGTTTAAAAAGACTTTTATTGGGAGCAAGATTTTCATACCATATTTTAAATACACTGTAAAACTTATTAACCTGATATGATT